GTCGTGTGGTTGCTGTGGTTGCTGTGTCATGTGATTTCTGTGTCGTGTGGTTGCTGTGTCGTGTGGTTGCTGTGTCGTGTGGTTGCTGTGTCGTGTGGTTGCTGTGTCGTGTGGTTGCTGTGTCGTGTGGTTGCTGTGTTGTGTGGTTGAATTGTCGTGTGGTTGCTGTGTTGTCGTGTTGTTGCTGTGTCGTGTGGTTGCTGTGTTGTCGTGTGGTTGCTGTGTTGTGTGGTTGCTGTGTCGTGTGGTTGAATTGTCGTGTGGTTGCTGTGTCGTGTGGTTGAATTGTCGTGTGGTTGCTGTGTCATGTGGTTGCTGTGTTGTGTGGTTGCTGTGTCATGTGGTTGCTGTGTTGTGTGGTTGCTGTGTCGTGTGGTTGCTCTGTCGTGTGGTTGAATTGTCGTGTGGTTGCTGTGTTGTCGTGTGGTTGCTGTGTCGTGTGGTTGAATTGTCGTGTGGTTGCTGTGTCGTGTGGTTGAATTGTCGTGTGGTTGCTTTGTCGTGTGGTTGCTGTGTCGTGTGGTTGCTGTGTCGTGTGGTTGCTGTGGTTGCTGTGTCGTGTTTTTGCTGTGTCGTGTGGTTGCTGTGTCGTGTGGTTGCTGTGTCGTGTGGTTGCTGTATCGTGTGGTTGCTGTGTCGTGTGGTTGCTGTGTCGTGTGGTTGCTGTGGTTGCTGTGTCGTGTGGTTGCTGTGTCGTGTGGTTGCTGTGTCGTGTGGTTGCTGTGGTTGCTGTGTCGTGTGGTTGCTGTGTCGTGTGGTTGCTGTGTCGTGTGGTTGCTGTGTCGTGTGGTTGCTGTGGTTGCTGTGTCGTGTGGTTGCTGTGTCGTGTGATTGCTGTGTCGTGTGGTTGCTGTGTAGTTAACTTAGACCCAGACATGTAGGCCTAACTATCCATAACCGATAGATGGTGACACATGGTGACACATGGTGACTCACGGTCCCAGATGGTGCAAGACATTGGCCTAGATTGATTACCACATGCTGGGTGAGCTTAACTAAAACATTCAAACGTGTAGGTCAGCAGGTGGTTGGCTGGGTGGTTGGCTGGGTGGTTGGCTGGGTGGTTGGCTGGGTGGTTGGCTGGGTGGTTGGCTGGGTGGTTGCTGGGTGGTTGGCTGGGTGGTTGGCTGGATGGTTGGCTGGGTGGGTGGTTGGTTAGGTGGTTTGGTGTGGACACTTGCCCGAATGGACACTAGCCCGAATGGACACTAGCCCGAAAGTTTTTACATGGGGGGGGGGGGGGGGCGGACGACGACACCAACTGCAAAATTAAATTTACAGATCAAATTAAGAGAGGGGGGGGGGGGTGACACAATGAGGTGCCGCATCGGGTGATACCCGACCTAGCGACGCCACTGGCTTGTGTTGCCATAAGTCTTCTGACTCCTATATTAGCCTTGTTCCCTTCATCTGACTCCTATACGTGTATGGTTCCCTACATCTGACTCCTATATTAGCCTTGTTCCCTACATCTGACTCCTATATGTGTATGGTTCCCTTCATCTGACTCCTATATTAGCCTTGTTCCTTTCATCTGACTCCTATATGTGTATGGTTCCCTACATCTGACTCCTATATTAGCCTTGTTCCTTTCATCTGACTCCTATATGTGTATGGTTCCCTAATCTGACTTCTATATGTGTATGGTTCCCTACATCTGACTCCTATATTAGCCTTGTTCCCTTCATCTGACTCCTATACGTGTATGGTTCCCTACATCTGACTCCTATATTAGCCTTGTTCCCTACATCTGACTCCTATATGTGTATGGTTCCCTACATCTGACTCCTATATGTGTATGGTTCCCTACATCTGACTCCTATATGTGTATGGTTCCCTACATCTGACTCCTATATTAGCCTTGTTCCCTACATCTGACTCCTATATGTGTATGGTTCCCTTCATCTGACTCCTATATGTGTATGGTTCCCTACATCTGACTCCTATATTAGCCTTGTTCCCTACATCTGACTCCTATATGTGTGTGGTTCCCTACATCTGACTCCTATATTAGCCTTGTTCCCTACATCTGACTCCTATATTAGCCTTGTTCCCTACATCTGACTCCTATATGTGTATGGTTCCCTGACCTTTCAGGCTAATCACAGACCACTTGGATCGTAGCGCCTACACTAATTATGCTAATGATAATTGCTAAACCTAATTATTTGGCCGATTAGTTAAAAGTCACCGGACCATGGGTGTAAGCTGAAGACATAACTCAATCATGGGACTAGTCATGTGACTTAGCTCAAGTCACGTGATCGGGTCACATGGCTACGCACGTCTCCCAATAGACACATAGGACAACCGTGTTAGCTGTTTGACGTCACTAGCATGCCTGCGCACACGGCGTGTTTACAGCACAGCTAGAGCTAGTATCGATTCTCACAAGTGGGAGTATCGATTCTCACTAGATAGAGTATCGAGACGAGCCGTCTTGTCCATCAAGACCCTACTGTTAGTTTTGACTTGCGATGTTTTTTTAGTGATGTTATTTACTGTCTTTCTGATATTGTGACCTAACCACCACTTTTCCCATGCCCTTATTTCGTTCTCCACTGTTTGTAACCTAGCCTCTAGCCATACAGTAAAAGGGGTCTACGACAAATGCCCGAAAGTTTTTTCGACATCAACTGCCGGCCAAGGGACGAAATCAAGAGCTATTTCAGACTTTGGCCGGTCCACCATGGGCAGTCTGCGGATTGGCCGGTCAAAGGCCAAAATCAAGCAAAGTTTCGGGGTTTGACCGACCTATGGGAGGCGATATTGGCCAATGCGCGTATTGGCCGACTTCGAGCTTTGACCGTATATATATATATATATATATATATATATATATATATATATATATATATATATATATATATATATAATGTGTGTGTAAATATATACTGAAATGGATATCTGAAATGGATATCTGAAATGACAGAGAGAATCGACAAAAACGACCACAGGGCCTATGACAAGAAGAACCCCGACCAATAGAAAAATGATAAAAAGACAAAGTAGCCCACGAAAACTCAGTCACGGAAAAAAAGCTCCCGACTATATCTCTGGTTAAAATATAACTTGTAAATATGAGAAGGACATACACGTTTAGTACCAGGACCTCATATAAGGGCGGCTCAGTTGCCATATTGGCCATCGAAGTTATTCACAAGGCTAGAGTCATGACGTCCTTTGTATTGATGTTGTCCTTTAATTCAAACTTGATTAGTTAGGGTTGAATAGATGGGGCTGTTTTATCAGGAACCTTTTTACACAGCTTGAAATTTTGGGTGACCACAAATAGCCTATATGTATATATATATATATATATATATATATATATATATATATATATATATATATATATATATATATATATATATGTGTATATATATATATATATATATATATATATATATATATATATATATATATATATATATATATATATATATAGGCCCTATATGTGTATGTATAAAACAATATTAGTCATGTACAAATTCACTTTTTCTATTTTAACCACGGAAGTAAGCGAATGTTTGCTATTAAACCGAGCGTTAGAAATAGGATTAAGGTTAGTTTAATTAGTTATGTCATAGCATTAAGGCTAGTTTCATTAGTTAAGTGTGGGTTAACAGTTGCCGTGTTAAGGGGTCACCCATAAAGACGCCAATCTTTTCTCTCAATGTCTAACGAAAATGGGACCAGGTGTAAGAAAAATGGGACCATATGCAGTCTACACTCTGTGTGTAATTGACTTTGAACTTTCTAGAATCAATGAGGAGGGGGAATACATGCTGCTAAAAAAAGCTTCCTAAAAGACTTTGTGGCGAGGCCACGCCCAGGCTCCCATCCGTTGTGTCACGCTCTCCAAACGATCGACTTTTTTTTTTACATCCCTTAGTAGAGAGCTGCTCCTTGTGTAGATTTCATGCCCATTATTTAAAGGACAAGAGAGATAACTTGCTGAGATATTAAATCAATAACATTTGAGGGGAGATAACTGGCTGGGATATTCTATCAATAAAATTTTCACTTGAGGGGAGATAACTTGCTGGGATATTCTATCAATAACATTTGAGGGGAGATAACTTGCTGGGATATTCTATCAATAACATTTGAGGGGAGATAACTTGCTGGGATATTCTATCAATAACATTTGAGGGGAGATAACTTGCTGGGATATTCTATCAATAACATTTGAGGGGAGATAACTTGCTGGGATATTCTATCAATAACATTTGAGGGGAGATAACTTGCTGAGATATTAAATCAATAACATTTGAGGGGAGATAACTTGCTGAGATATTAAATCGATAACATTTACACTTGAGGGGAGATAAGTTTGAGGTAGTGAGTGACTTAGTGGGAGACCAATGAAGCTCGTGTCGACAGACGGACTCATGGGTTATAGTTTGTTTTGTTTGTCTGTCCATCTGTCTGTGAGTGTGTATGCCGCTAAGCAATTTATTTTAATTACTTCTTTGATCCCCTCCATTTGCCTTAAGATGTTGACCTAATTAGTTGTATAATTTATTGGTTCAGTAATTACAAATAGTTATAAATAGTATTAAAAGGGATTTAGGTGATAGGGGTGTGTGTCAAGTAGTCAATGCGTATTTTAAAATGTTTTCCTTTAATACTAGACCTGCCAATAATACTAGACCTGCCAGTAATACTAGACCTGCCAGTAATACTAGACCTACCTTTACAACTTTGTGAGTTTGTGGGCTTATGACTTTGTGAGATTGTGGGCTTATGACTTTGTGAGATTGTGGGCTTATGACTTTGTGAGATTGTGGGATTATGACTTTGTGAGATTGTGGGCTTATGACTTTGTGAGTTTGTGGGCTTATGACTTTGTGAGATTGTGTGCTTATGACTTTGTGAGTTTGTGGGCTTATGACTTTGTGAGTTTGTGGGCTTATGACTTTGTGAGTTTGTGGGCTTATGACTTTGTGAAATTGTGGTTCATGCGATGAACATTTTTTTTGAACAAACAATAGTCAGAAGGAATCTTTGACTTTATTTTTCATAGTCTTATGTGGCGACACCTATACTTTCACCAGGGTGAAGGTCATTGTTTTTCCTTTGGACGTAAGTTCCTGTAATAGAAATAACAAAAGGTCAAGTTCAAGTTCCTCTAACTTTCAAAAATGTCCAGTTCATTAAATCAACCTTAGGGCCCTCCATGTCTATATGACGTCACATCCCTATTTCACGCCTGCCCCCCCCCCCCCCCCCTCTGTCCACCGTCTGCCGCCCCCTCCCCCACATCAAGTTCATCCCGGAATCATTGAACCGCCAACAAAAAACCTTAAACAATGACATTTTGTTGTTGGCGACAGGTGGACCTACCGTTACCATGGCGACAGGTGAACCTACCGTTACCATGGCGACAGGTGTACCTACCGTTACCATGGCGCTGCCTCTGAAATAGCGAACAGCTATCCACTCCATTTCCCCGGCAGAACCTTCAGAAACCAATTTGTCCCCGTCCATGTAAGATTTGGCCTAGAGAAAAAGTTAGGGAATCGTCATCTAGACCTACCTACCTCAATCATCAGGACACCTATCTCAATCATCTAGACACACCTGTCTCAGACTATCATCTAGACACACCTGCCTCAGACTATCATCTAGACACACCTGCCTCAGACTATCATCTAGACACACCTGCCTCAGACTATCATCTAGACACACCTGCCTCAGACTATCATCTAGACACACCTGCCTCAGACTATCATCTAGACACACCTGCCTCAGACTATCATCTAGACACACCTGCCTCAGACTATCATCTAGACACACCTGCCTCAGACTATAATCTAGACACACCTGCCACAGACTATCATCTAGACACACCTGCCTCAGACTATCATATAGAGTCTAGAGACACCTGTAACAGACTATCATATAGACACACCTGCCTCAGACTATCATCTAGACACACCTGCCTCAGACTATCATCTAGACACACCTGCCTCAGACTATCATCTAGACACACCTGCCTCAGACTATCATATAGAGTCTAGACACACCTGCCTCAGACTATCATCTAGACACACCTGCCACAGACTATCATCTAGACACACCTGCCTCAGACTATCATATAGAGTCTAGAGACACCTGTAACAGACTATCATATAGACACACCTGCCTCTGACTATCATCTAGACACACCTGCCTCAGACTATCATCTAGACACACATCTGCCTCAGACTATCATCTAGACACACCTGCCTCAGACTATCATATAGAGTCTAGACACATCTGCCTCAGACTATCATCTAGACACACCTGCCTCAGACTATCATCTAGACACACCTGACTTAGACTATCATCTAGACACACCTGCCTCAGACTATCATCAAGACACACCTGCCTCAGACTATCATCTAGACACACCTGCCTCAGACTATCATATAGAGTCTAGACACACCTGCCTCAAACTATCGTATAGAGTCTAGACACACCTGCCTCAGACTATCATCTAGACACACCTGCCTCAGACTATCATCTAGAGTCTAGACACACCTGCCTAAGACTATCAGCTAGACACACCTGCCACAGACTATCATATAGAGTCTAGACACACCTGCCTCAGACTATCATCTAGACACACCTGCCTCAGACTATCATCTAGACACACCTGCCTCAGACTATCATCTAGACACACCTGCCACAGACTATCATCTAGACACACCTGCCTCAGACTATCAGCTAGACACACCTGCCACAGACTATCATATAGAGTCTAGACACACCTGCCACAGACTATCATCAAGACACACCTGCCTCAGACTATCATCTAGACACACCTGCCTCAGACTATCATATAGAGTCTAGACACACCTGCCTCAAACTATCGTATAGAGTCTAGACACACCTGCCTCAGACTATCATCTAGACACACCTGCCTCAGACTATCATCTAGAGTCTAGACACACCTGCCTAAGACTATCAGCTAGACACACCTGCCACAGACTATCATATAGAGTCTAGACACACCTGCCTCAGACTATCATCTAGACACACCTGCCTCAGACTATCATCTAGACACACCTGCCTCAGACTATCATCTAGACACACCTGCCACAGACTATCATCTAGACACACCTGCCTCAGACTATCAGCTAGACACACCTGCCACAGACTATCATATAGAGTCTAGACACACCTTCCACAGACTATCATCTAGACACACCTGCCTCAGACTATCAGCTAGACACACCTGCCACAGACTATCATATAGAGTCTAGACACACCTGCCTCAGACTATCATCTAGACACATCTGCTTCAGACTATCATCTAGACACACCTGCCTCAGACTATCATCTAGACACACCTGCCTCAATCATCTAGACACACCTGTCTCAGACTATCATCTAGACACACCTGCCTCAGACTATAATCTAGACACACCTGCCTCAGACTATCATCTAGACACACCTGCCTCAGACTATCATCTAGACACACCTGCCTCAGACTATCATCTAGACACACCTGCCTCAGACTATCATCTAGACATACCTGCCTCAATCATCTAGACACACCTGCCTCAGACTATCATATAGAGTCTAGACACACCTGCCACAGACTATCATCTAGACACACCTGCCTCAGACTATCAGCTAGACACACCTGCCACAGACTATCATATAGAGTCTAGACACACCTGCCACAGACTATCATCTAGACACACCTGACTTAGACTATCATCTAGACACACCTGCCTCAGACTATCATCAAGACACACCTGCCTCAGACTATCATCTAGACACACCTGCCTCAAACTATCGTATAGAGTCTAGACACACCTGCCTCAGACTATCATCTAGACACACCTGCCTCAGACTATCATCTAGACACACCTGCCACAGACTATCATCTAGACACACCTGTCTCAGACTATCATATAGAGTCTAGACACACCTGCCTCAGACTATCATCTAGACACATCTGCCACAGACTATCATCTAGACACACCTGCCTCAGACTATCATCTAGACACACCTGCCTCAGACTATCATCTAGAGTCTAGACACACCTGCCTCAGACTATCATCTAGACACATCTGCCTCAGACTATCATCTAGACACACCTGCCTCAGACTATCATCTAGACACACCTGCCACAGACTATCATCTAGACACACCTGCCTCAGACTATCATCTAGACACACCTGCCTCAGACTATCATCTAGAGTCTAGACACACCTGCCTCAGACTATCATCTAGACACATCTGCCTCAGACTTTCATCTAGACACACCTGCCTCAGACTATCATCAAGACACACCTGCCTCAGACTATCATCTAGACACATCTGCCTCAGACTATCATCTAGACACACCTGCCTCAGACTATCATCTAGACACACCTGCCTCAGACTATCATCTAGACACACCTGCCACAGACTATCATCTAGACACACCTGCCTCAGACTATCATATAAAGTCTAGACACACCTGCCTCAGACTATCATCTAGACACACCTGCCACAGACTATCATATAGACACACCTGTCTGAGACTATCATCTAGACACACCTGCCTCAGACTATCATCTAGACACACCTGCCTCAGACTATCATCTAGACACACCTGCCTCAGACTATCATCTAGACACACCTGTCTCAGACTATCATATAAAGTCTAGACACACCTGCCTCAGACTATCATCTAGACACACCTGCCTCAGACTATCATATAAAGTCTAGACACACCTGCCTCAGACTATCCTCTAGACACACCTGCCTCAGACTATCATCTAGACACACCTGCCTTAGACTATCATCTAGACACACCTGCCTCAGACTATCATCTAGACACACCTGCCTCAGACTATCATCTAGACACACCTGCCTCAGACTATCATCTAGACACACCTGCCTCAGACTATCATCTAGACACACCTGCCTCAGACTATCATCTAGACACACCTGCCTCAGACTATCAGCTAGACACACCTGCCTCAGACTATCATCTAGACACACCTGCCTCAGACTATCATATAAAGTCTAGACACACCTGCCTCAGACTATCATCTAGACATACCTGCCTCAATCATCTAGACACACCTGCCTCAGACTATCATATAGAGTCTAGACACACCTGCCTCAGACTATCATCTAGACACACCTGCCTCAGACTATCATCTAGACACACCTGCCTCAGACTATCATCTAGACACACCTGTCTCAGACTATCATCTAGACACACCTGCCACAGACTATCATCTAGACACACCTGCCTCAGACTATCATCTAGACACACCTGCCTCAGACTATCATCTAGACACACCTGCCTCAGACTATCATCTAGACACCTGCCTCAGACTATCATCTAGACACACCTGCCTCAGACTATCATCTAGACACACCTGCCTCAGACTATCAGCTAGACACACCTGCCTCAGACTATCATCTAGACACACCTGCCACAGACTATCATCTAGACACACCTGCCACAGACTATCATCTAGACACACCTGTCTCAGACTATCATCTAGACACACCTGCCTCAGACTATCATCTAGACACACCTGCCTCAGACTATCATCTAGACACACCTGCCACAGACTATCATCTAGACACACCTGCCTCAGACTATCATCTAGACACACCTGCCTCAGACTATCATCTAGACACACCTGCCTCAGACTATCATGATTCACTCAGACTGTTACCTTTATCTTGACTCCACCTGGTCCCTGACTTTCATAAGTCTCCCCCAACGTATGTGTCTCCCTCCGAGGATCTCTGCCATCAATGTTGGTGATAGTGGTAAGATCGGTCCCGTCTAGCAATATTTCTATGCTTGCTATTTTCTCAATCTCTTGAAGGGCTTCTGTTTGACCAGCTGGGGACGGTTCATTGTATCAGATATTTTGTTTGTTTTACGTACTTGTATCATCTAGTTGTATAATATGCTCGTATCATTTGCTTGTATCATGTACTTGTATCATGTGCTTGTATAATGTGCTTGTATCATGTGCTTGTATAATGTGCTTGTATCATGTGCTTGTATCATGTGCTTGTATCATGTGCTTGTATCATGTATAAAACCTACTTGCATGGAAATATTCCTCTGCCCCGTCTACCCGGTCCAGTTTCCAGACGCCAACAAAAGCCGCCGCCATTTTGTTTGACACAAGTCAATGGTCAGTTGATCACGTGATACCGTGGTCAGTTGATCACGTTGTACCGTAGTCAGATGAATGAACTGTCTGAAAAAAAACTACTTAAAACACGAACACAATCCACTGATAGACTGCGTATTTATAGTGTCATCTTAGTTTAGCCCCCCCCCCCCCACACACCCGCCCTTCCCCCCCATCCTATATCTTAAAAGATCAATTTAGCACTTAACAACTACTTCAAGTCTGGGCTAGACGCTTGTGATACATATGTCCCATGTGATACATATGACCCATGTATTACATATGTCCCATGTGACCCATATGTCCCTTGTGACCCATATGACCCATATGACCCATGTGATACATATGTCCCATGTGACATATATGTCCCATGTGACATATATGACCCATGTGACCCATATGTCCCATGTGACCCATATGTCCCATGTGACCCATATGACCCATATGACCCATGTGACCCATACGACCCATATGTCCCATGTGACCCGTATCTGTGTTGCCGTGAATTGTTTGACCTGATAATGTATTGACTTAAGTCAATAATTAGATGATAACACCAAGTGGGTAGACAGTCAAGTTGACTTGAAACATTTGCACCGTGACCGAGACGAATTGACCCACGACTCAAGTACGACACAAGTATCGAACCTTTAACTCAAGATGTTGATTGTGTAGGCGGTTGGCTGTCATAAGTGGAGTTGTTGGGATTGTGGTGTTGGTGGTTGTGTTGGTGGTTGTGTTGGTGGTTATGTTGGTGTTTATGTTGGTGGTTGTATTGGTGGTTGTGTTGGTGGTTGTGTTAGTGGTTGTGTTGGTGGTGGTGTTAGTGGTTGTGTTGGTGGTTGTGTTGGTGGTTGTGTTGGTGGTTATGTTGGTGTTTATGTTGGTGGTTGTGTTGGTGGTTGTATTGGTGGTTGTGTTAGTGGTTGTGTTGGTGGTTGTGTTGGTGGTTGTGTTGGTGGTTGTGTTAGTGGTTGTGCTTGGACCCGTGTCAATACAATGTGGGTCTACTGCCGCTTATTCTAACCCAAGACAAAATCAAAACCTAGAAAAACCTAGAAAAACCTAGAAAAACCTAGAAAAACCTCTATCCTAAACAAATGAATACAAATAAAACCATAATCGTCCTTATTTATGCACAAAATGGCGGCCCATTCGTTTGTGTCAGATTGCTATGGGTAATTATATGCCCAGCATCAAATAACACCGCGGCAATCATCGCGTCCCCACTAAATAGTGCATTTAGTTACATGGACATAATTTATAGGGGAATTTGTATATTTTTGCATTTGTTCTTTGTTGCTTTGTATATTTTTCATTTGTTTATTTGTAAATTTGTATATTTTTTCATTGTATATCTATGTATTTGTATATGTGTATATTTGTTCATTTGTATATATGTGTGTTTATTCATTTGTGTATTTGTATATTTATACATGTGTACATATGTACATGTGTATATTTGTATCTGTAGCGTAGGCAGAAGGAGCAGGGGGAGCAGACACCCCCCTGGGACCATGCTCTAGAATCAGGCGCGTCCGCAAACAACCCGACAGGGTGCAATGTGGATCCCTGTGCTATCCATTTAGCACTACGGCGTCTACGTTTTATTTAAGCAGCCAGGGGCAGTACGCGGCGCCCTAGCGGTAGTGTAATCGGGGGCTCCCGAGAGCGCCCCTCTACGTCCCTGACACGAGGGCGGTCACCAAAGTCTGTTCTACCTCACTATTTCGGTTAGTGATTAACGTGCACTCAAGGCTTTCATGCGGTAGAGTAGGTAAACCCATGCCCTGATAAATATGATCCAAACGCAGGCATTGTTTACATTTAGAAAACTCAGTTTGAGAAAACAAGGTAACACGTCAAAGAATATAATATTAGTACCGCAATGATGAAAACCTCTTAAAATATTACGTCATATTACGCGGCAACGAACAGAAACGGGCACGCCAGTGTTTCATAAAGATTCAAATTTTTATTTCGCCCAAATATTCAAGAGTTATTTAATTTTTTATAGATCTCCCTCCCCCATAGATCCCCCCCCCACTCCTCGGTCTGAGAAGATTAAAGGGAATCGACAACGAAGTATCGAATCAAGAAGAAACACATCGAATACCTGGGGTGAAAGGTCAAGTAAGTTTCTAAGTCCCAGTGTCAGTTTTGTGGAAGAAAACGTCTAAGCTCCCTGAATATTCATATCAAACGATCTTAGCTCTGTGAACATTCATATCAAACTATCTTAGCTCCGTGAACATTCATATCAAACGATCTTAGCTCCGAGAACATTCATATCAAACGATCTTAGCTCCGTGAACATTCATATCAAACGATCTTAGCTCCATGAACATTCATATCAAACTATCTTAGCTCCGTGAACATTCATATCAAACTATCTTAGCTCCGTGAACATTCATATCAAATGATCTTAGCTCCCTGAATATTCATATCAAACTATCTTAGCTCCGTGAATATTCATATCAAACGATCTTAGCTCCGTGATCATTCATATCAAACGATCTTAGCTCCGTGAACATTCATATCAAACAATCTTTGTTCACCATCAGCAGCAGGTTTTTAGCATTTCTCGACATTTTTCTAATGATCTTCTAATGATCTTCTAATGATCTTCTAATGATCTTCTAATGATCGTGTGGATCTTCGCTGATCTGTCACTGTCTCCTCGCCCCGCCCCTCTCATGCATCACGTGATCACCGTGTGTCAGACACACGCAAGAGCGTACCGCAGCTCAACTTTAAGCTGCTCTCGGCTGTGTCTGTGTGTGTGTCTGTGTGTGTGTCTGTGTGTGTGTGTCTGTGTGTCTCTGTGTGTGTGTCTATGTGTCTCTGTGTGTATTTGTGTGTGTCTCCGTGTGTATATGTCTGTGTGTCTGTGTCTATGTGTGTCTGTGTGTGTCTCCGTGTGTGTGTCTGTGTGTCTGTGTGTGTTTGAGTGTGTGTCTCCGTGTGTGTATGTCTGTGTGTCTGTGTGTGTCTCTGTGTGTTTATGTGTGTTTCTATTTTTGTATGTGTGTACAGTTTCCACTTTATCTTCTCAGTGTCTGTGTTGTGTTGGCTGTTTTATTCTTTATACTAATATTATTTTTTTCTCTTTCCGATAAATACCCACACATATACATAAATATATATAGATCAATCAATAAATAAAAAGTTTATATATATATATATATATATATATATATATATATATATATATTTAATATTAAATAGGAAATACGAAATAAGAAATATGAAATTAAAAAATATAAAAGTGTAAGGTGTAAAGTGTAAAGTATAAATTATAAAGTAAAAAGTAAAATGTAAAATGTAAAACGTAAAACGTAAAACGTAAAACGTGAAACGTGAAATGTAAAATGTAAAATGTAAAATGTAAAATATATAATTTGAAATGTAAAATGTGAAATGTAAAACGCAAAACGTATAACGTATAGCATATAACGTATAACGTATAACGTTTAATAAAACGAAATCTGTAAAACGTAGAACGTAGAACCTGAAAACGAAACATGAAAAACGTAAAATGTAGAACATAGAATATAGAATACGGTATATATATATATATATATATATATATATATATATATATATATATATATATATATATATATATATATATATATATATATATATATATATATATATATACACACGAGATAAATGGCCCGTTGAGGCATAGATACAACGGGCGCTAGGTTGATAGTGTTGACTCTTTTCTCTTAACCAAAACCAAAATCGCCACCTTAACTTCAAATTGAACCGGTAACGAAAAATGACATTATCGCAATTTTAATCGGATTTAAGCTTGATCTATTTGTAGTTACTGCACATTGATACTAAATATAGTCGTAGCCATACCTCTAAACCTCGCTCCTAATCTCAAACATGACAAAAGTCGCATTTAAAGTTTCTTTCAGACGACTCTTAACTTGGTAGGGAGGGGGGGGGGGATCAGCTCCGCCGCCAGACAGCCACCCCCTTCCCCCGCCCCAACCACCCCGAAGCACGACTACCGTCCCCTTCAACGAAATAGAATTTATATAGATAACATACTTTTACTAGTGTCCGCCTCCTCCGAAGAAAATTTAGTCCACGCCCACCCCCGATTATTTCAAGGGGGTAGGGTACGGTTAGGGGTAGGGTACTTGAACTTTTGCAGTGTCGAATAAAATTCTCCGGGGCGGGGGAGGCCGACACTGGTAAAAGTAAATATTTTCCACGGGTGTGTCCACGGGTGTGTCCACGGGTGTGTCCACGAGTGTGTCCACGGGTGTGTCCACACTACCCTCCTGAATTTCATAATGTGTATAAAAACTTGAGAGTCTAGGCTCAGCGACTAACCAGCTGTTCATTCATCCGTGCGGTTGTTACGTGTGTGGTTGGTCTCTGTTGGGGTTGGAAAAAGTAATCGAAAGTTTGAGGGGGGGGGGAGTGCAAATCGAAAGTTTGTCCCTGGGCGCCGGGAAGGGTTGCCTCTGTTGGGCGATCAAGATATATTTCCTAAAAAAAACATCCTTACACATTTATTTAAATAGTGTATTATTACTTTTTTTTTAATGTGTTGTTAATTTTTTGGGACATTTTTTCTCATTTTTTTTACCAGATAAGGGAAGCAACTAGAATAATACTTGTATTGATATAAGGGCAGCAACTAGAATAATACTTGTATTAATATAAGGGAAGCAACTAGAATAAAACTTGTATTAAGCGGTATTTTTGCTGCTTCCCTTGTTAAATTAAATCCTCGGTATTTGTACTATACATTTTTTTTTACTCTACAAACGTGCTACTACACTCATGTGCTACTACACTCATGTACTACTACACTCATGTACTACTACACTCATGTACTACTACACTCATGTACTACTACAATCGTGTGCTACTACACTCATGTGCTACTACACTCATGTACTACTACACTCATGTACTACTACACTCATGTACTACTACACTCATGTGCTACTACAATCGTGTGCTACTACACTCATGTACTACTACACTCATGTACTACTACACTCATGTACTACTACACTCATGTGCTACTTCACTCATGTACTACTACACTCATGTGCTACTACACTCATGTGCTACTACAATCGTGTGCTACTACACTCATGTACTACTACAATCGTGTGCTACTACAATCGTGTGCTACTACAATCGTGTGCTACTACACTCATGTGCTACTACAATCGTGTGCTACTACAATCGTGTGCTACTACACTCATGTGCTACTACACTCATGTGCTACTTCACTCATATACTACTTCACTCATGTGCTACTACAATCGTGTGCTACTACAATCGTGTGCTACTACAATCGTGTACTACTACACTCATGTGCTACTACAATCGTGTGCTACTACACTCATGTGCTACTACACTCATGTGCTACTACAATCGTGTGCTACTACACTCGTGTGTGTGGTTGGTCTGTGTGGTTAATCTGTGTGGTTGGTTTGTGTGGTTGTCTTGTGTGTGGTTGGTCTGTGTGGTTGTCTTGTGTGGCTGGTACTCAAGTTATCGTGTTTACAGACATACATACACAAAGACAAACGGACAGAATTGCAAAACCCAGTTTTTCGGACTCGATTACTTATAGAACTCCGAAATTTTGATAAATCTGCATTCATAATTTTTGCCCGATTAAAATAAGTTACTTATACTCCGTATATGATGAAGTTCTGAGGTGTAAAAAGGTGAAAACTGTCAGTATTTCTTGTGCCCGCTTACAATACTTCCTCTATACTCTGTATACGACAAAGTTAAAAGAAGTGCACATCAATTGAACGCGAACAATATGGGTCTAATAGAGCGGAAAATGAGTACTTATTAAAGCAAACATTATTAATTTTAAGAAGTTGATTATATGTCACATTTTATGTCACAGTGCGCTTGTCATCAAGTCTTGACCCGCGTGAAAAACTTGAAAAAAAAATGGGTCTGGTAGATGTGAGCTTTTTTTGAGGAATCGTAAAATACTTTTTTTAAGTCACAGAAAAACACTTTGAATTTTTTTACAAGATTTTACTTAGTTCACAACGTCATGTAAGTTTGTGTGTTGGTTGGTGGCACATCTTGTAGCTCAATTTTGACCCACTAATGCAGAGTCAAATTTCCAGATAATATCGCCTTCGAGAGAAATGCATGCATATCTATGTTTAAAATTTAATTAAATTTACAAAAATTTTTTTTAATTAAGTAAAAGGTTTTGAAGCTAAATGGATATAACACAATTAAATGCTGGCGATCATTTAATAGATGACTATATGCAGAAGGGGAGATAACTAAACACTCTCACTGGTGAGTTGTGGTTCACGAGAATGTTTACAGAGTTTCTTCCAGACTTTTTTTCTCCGGGGGGGGGGGGGGGGGGGGGGCACTTGATATTTTCGTGGGGGGGGGGGCGGTAGACTTTCTTCGGGGAGACTCTGCCCCCCCCCCACCCCCCCGAAGAGATGCCTGGAAGAAACTCTGTTTACAATCGTAGAGCTGAGCCGAATTGGTGAAGGCGGGACAGACAATTTAGTTTTTAAACGATTTGAAGCTAAGGTGAGGTAACAAGATTTATTGTCTGTAAAATATCGTCACGGACGGCTGCATTCACGGGGCAGGTAATCGTCTTTCAGATATCGCGAGCTACTGATTGATTTTTTAATGCAAATATTTTCAGTCGTTGACTTCATAAATTAAGAATCTAAAAATAGGAAAATGAAATCAAATTAAAAAAAAAACCTGATAGCAACAAGCTTTTGAATGCACTGAAAATAAGAAAACAAAATTTATTTGCTTTCTTTCAAAATTCCTAGTCTTAAGTCTATCAAGGTGCGAAAAAATAAAAGTATTTTTTTTTGGTCAGATGTTAGTTCCCCTAAACGGCATGTGACCTTCCCCCCCCCCCCCCTCCTTATTCGGGGTCTGCGGTATGATGATAGTCCTGACCCTGACTTACTCACTGCTCACATGACAGACAGGCATACAGACGGACGGACGGACGGACGGATGGACGGACGGACGGACAGAGGAACGCAGGGAGATTTTTTTGCGCGATTACAATACTTACTCTATATCCTACTTAATTACAATACTTCCTCTTTATCTTACTTCATTACAATATTTCATCTATAGCCTACTTTGATACGAGGAAGTCAGTCTGCAGAAAATGATGGAATCAATTCTAGGTCCAAATCTGCACCACTTAGTGCCACTGTTTCTCCCAGCGCATTTAAAAACAATTCTAAAACTATATGTTGTATTTGTTGAGTTGTAAAAAGTATGTGGATTTGATTGAAGTGTTATGTGTTTTGATGCGTTAAGTTGTGTGATGATGTGTTGTGATGTGTGATATGTTATGATGTGATGTGTTATGTGTTGTGTGATGTGTTGTGTTGTGTTCTGTGGTGATGTGGTGTGATGTGGTAATGTGTTGTGTGTTATCTTGTGATGTGTGTTGTATTGTGTTGTGTGTTGTGTGTTGTATTGTGTTGTGTCATGTTGTTGTGATGTGTTGTGTGTTGTGATGTTGTGTGTTGTGATGTTGTGTGTTGTGTGTTGTGTGTTGTGCCACTAATCAAGTCGTGTCTCCCAACAGATGCTTGTTTTGTGTTGTGGTGTGTTGTGTTGAGTGTTGTGTTGTGTGTTGTGTGTTGTGTGATGTGTGATGTGTGTTGTGTGTTGTGTGTTGTGTTGTGTGTTGTGTTGTGTTTTGTCTTGTGTTGTGTGTTGTTTTGTGTGCTGTGTTGTGTTGTGTGTTGTGTTGTGTGTTGTGTGTTGTGCCACTAATCATGTCCTGTCTCCCACAGATGCTTGTTTTGTGTGCTGTGTTGTGTTGTGTGATGTGTGTTGTGTTGTGTGCTGTGTTGTGTGATGTGTGTTGTGTGTTGTGCCACTAATCAAGTCATGTCTCCCACAGATGCTTGTGTTGTGTTGTGTTGTGTGATGTGTGTTGTGTGATGTGTGATGTGTGTTGTGTGTTGTGTTGTGTGTTGTGTTGTGTGTTGTGTGTTGTGTTGTGTTTTGTCTTGTGTTGTGTGTTGTGTTGTGTGCTGTGTTGTGTGTTGTGTGATGTGTTGTGTGTTGAGTGTTGTGTTGTGTGCTGTGTTGTGTGTTATGTCTTGTGTGGTGTTGTGTTGTGTGTTGTGTGTTGTGTGTTGTGTGTTGTGTGCTGTGTTGTGTGTTGTGTTGTGTGATGTGTGTTGTGTTGTGTGTTGTGTGTTGTGTTGTGTTGTGTTGTGTGTTGTGTGTTGTGCCACTAATCAAGTCCTATCTCCCACAGATGCTTGTGTTGTGTTGTGCTGTGTTGTGTGTTGTGTGATGTGTGTTGTGTGTTGTGCCACTAACCCTAAGTCCTGTCTCCCACAGATGCTTGTGTTGTGTTGTGTTGTGTGTTGTGTGCTGTGTTGTGTGTTGTGTGATGTGTGTTGTGCCACTAACCCTAAGTCCTGTCTCCCACAGATGCTTGTGCTGTGTTGTGTGTTGTGTGATGTGTGTTGTGTGATGTGTGTTGTGTGTTGTGCCACTAATCAAGTCCTGTCTCCCACAGATGCTTGTGTTGTGTTGTGTTGTGTTGTGTGTTGTGTGTTGTGTGCTGTGTTGTGTTGTGTGTTGTGTGCTGTGTTGTGTGTTGTGCCACTAATCAAGTCCTGTCTCCCACAGATGCTTGTGTTGTGTTGTGTGTTGTGTTGTGTGCTGTGTTGTGTGTTGTGTGTTGTGTGTTGTGTTGTGTTGTGCCACTAACCCTATGTCCTGTCTCCCACAGATGCTTGGAACCTGACTATCGTTGAAGGACTCTGGTTAAACTGCTCACATTCTGACGTCATAGCTAATGCCGTTGATGAATGCAAATTAATTACAGGCAGAGGTCAGTTCTGGTCAGTGTGTCAGTATTTGTCACAATTTGTCCATTTTGTCAGTGTGTCAATGTTTGTCACAATTTGTCCATTTTGTCAGTGTGTCAATATTTGTCACAATTTGTCCATTTTGTCAGTGTGTCAATGTTTGTTACAATTTGTCCATTTTGTCAGTTTGTCAATGTTTGTCACAATTTGTCCATTTTGTCAGTGTGTCAATGTTTGTCACAATTTGTCCATTTTGTCAGTGTGTCAATGTTTGTCACAATTTGTCCATTTTGTCAGTGTGTCAATGTTTGTTACAATTTGTCCATTTTGTCAGTGTGTCAATGTTTGTCACAATTTGTCCATTTTGTCAGTGTGTCAATGTTTGTCACAATTTGTCCATTTTGTCAGTGTGTCAATATTTGTCACAATTTGTCCATTTTGTCAGTGTGTCAATGTTTGTCACAATTTGTCCATTTTGTCAGTGTGTCAATGTTTGTCACAATTTCTCCATTTTGTCAGTGTGTCAATGTTTGTCACAATTTGTCCATATTTGATTGTTTTGATGCCAACAAAAAATAAAAATGTCCCACTGCAGCATAGTTTTGTTTTGCTTGTGTTTCTCACCAGACCAATTTTTAGGGCAACACACGCACAGGCGTAGCGACGGATTCCGGCGCCCGGGGCGGACTATACATTTGTGCGCCCCTCCCTCCCATTCTATTTATAGTTATTCCTGTCATTGAAAAAGCGCCCACCTTTTGGACCCCCCTCCCCACCCCACAGTAAATACATTAGAAAGGTTTTTACCATTTACGATCCCATAGGATTTTTATTTCGGTGCCACAAAATTGATATAGAAAACAGTTAAATCAATGCCCTGAAGTCGTTTATTTTCGTAACTTTGACGGTATATAATTTAATACTTCAGCTTAAAATGATCTTTTAAATTAGTTTTTCTTTTGGCGCCCCCTTTGGGTTGGCGCCTAGGGCGGCCGCCCCACCCGCCATAAAAATGGCTACGCCACTAACACACAGTTCAATTTGTGACTGCCCATTCACATGGGAATCTTGCGTATAACAGTGATTTACTGCACGATATTTTGCCTTGGAGCGTGTTTCGCCTTAGCACTTGGAAATCAATACGCCTCCAGTTCTACAACATAAGGTTGGTTCACATGTGTGGATCTACCAATTATGGCATACTCACATAGCAGTTTGTCTCGTGGTTACTTTGTTTAATGGTCAGTTTGTGTAGGCTTTTTCCTATATGAATGGATCATCTAGTTGGGCTTAGTTATAGACTGAAATAAGATTTCTAGCAAGCAAAAAGTCTCTGTGAAATTAGAAGCGTCACCAAAGGGAGGTCATTAAAAAAATGCACCATTTTCCGAGATTTTCTTGAAAATGGTCAGATTGGAGACCCATAGTGAAGCCGATAGAAAAATCTATTTCAGTTACCATCAGCATCTTTTCTAGACACAACACCCCCACCATCTGCACCTTTCTCTCGTTGGTCGTACAAAAATGTCGGATACTATTGTAGGATTTGTACACCGCTTGTGACGTCATGGGGTTCTGTGCTTGTTTCTCTCCGTGTTGGCCAGTGTGTTGGCTGCTGATGACGAGTCTCGCTAGGTCCCTTCAACTTTTGGTCGTCATCTGACCTCCGACCTTGTGCCGTTCGTGGTGGACACTATCTTGTGTACAAGTTCGTTTCTTGTTATTCCATTCATGTGCAGGATCCGTGGATTTTTTTCTCAACTTGTCGTGGCAGTATGGATTCTCCTCTCACTGTACACGCGCGCTGCGTTTGGCGTGTGTATTGATCGTCTGCTCACATCACTCATGTCTGCTGACAGCAATGTGTTTTTGTAAATCTTGCTTGTAATAGTTGACAGCATCGTGTGCCGCGTTCGAATCCATCTCACACCAGCACCGGTGTGGTCAGCAGCGAGTTGAGGGGGGGGGAGGGGCTAACCGGCATGTGGTAAAAGTGGTCCAGTGGTAGAACACGCGACTAACCTACTCAAACATTTCCTGTTCGGTTATTAAAATACAGTCCTCAGAATATCCGTCTTTTAACCCAACACAATTAGAACATCCGACATCCGACATCCGACATCTATCTAACAACACAATTAGAACATCCAACATCTATCTAACAACACAATTAGAACATCCAACATCTATCTAACAACACAATTAGAACATCCAACATCTATCTAACAACACAATTAGAACATCCAACATCTATCTAACAACACAATTAGAACATCCAACATCTATCTAACAACACAATTAGAACATCCAACATCTATCTAACAACACAATTAGAACATCCAACATCTAAGTTAAACACAATTCACCTGTAAATTACACCTGATAGAATGTACAGGTGTAATTTACAGGTGATGAAGAGTATGGATGATGTAATCTACGGGTGATAATGTGATGTTATGTAAGTGGTGTTTAACATGTGATGTAACGTAATGATGACGTCAACTGTACCGGTTTTGCTTATGTGCTCAATTCATTGAATGTGTTGTGTTGTAATGTGTTCAATTCATTGAATGTGTTGTGTTGTGATGTGCTCAATTCATTGAATGTGTTGTTGTGATGTGTTCATTGAATGTGTTGTGTTGTGATGTGTTCATTGAATGTGTTGTGTTGTGATGTGTTCATTGAATGTGTTGTGTTGTGATGTGTTCATTGCATGTGTTGTGTTGTGATGTGTTCATTGAATGTGTTGTGTTGTGATGTGTTCATTGCATGTGTTGCGTGTGTTTTGAGCAGTTTTTGTTGAAGTTCGATACCGCTCTAGCGCATACAATTCTCCTCGCTCAGTTCGCCCACCGCATTAGGTCACTGCGTTAGGTCACCGCGTTAGGTCACCGCGTTAGGTCACCGCGTTAGGTCGAGGTCTGTTTCATCGCTCTTTGTTTATCTCCAAGTTTTCTTCCCTGGATGAAAATATTTCAATGTCAACTGAGGAGATGACGAGATCAAACTGCTATCTGAGGACGGTCTTTGTATTTAACCGTAAGAAAACTTTGAGCCTCGATGTGAAATCACCAGCCAAGCTCTGAGCGTTGACCGCAGACACGATGACCAGCATGAAGAACTTCCTCAAGTTCAAGACGCGGCAGAACAGCTCGGACCACCGCAGGTTGGGAGAGGAGTACTACATCAGGGAGGCTAAACTTTGGCGACCTTTTCGCCTCTTCGGCGTCTTCGCCACAGTCACGGCCATGACCTTCATTCTATCGTCACTTGCGAGCGCCGATTGGATCCATGGCCAGGGTGAGTTAGTTTGTTTGTTTGTTTGTTGGTTGGTTGGTTGGTTGGTTGATTGATTGGTTGGTTGCTTGGTTTATAGAGTAGCCAATCATTCGTGCTGATAAATTTTGGCCCATCTCTACCTGGGCAACTTGACACAGAACCTATATATATATATATATATATATATATATATATATATATATATATATATATATATATATATATATATATATATATATATATACGTGTGAGTGTGTGTGTGTGTGGGTTTCTAAGGCATAACAAGAACACCCCAAGTTATTTCTCGGTGGATTTGTCATGAGATATAATTATAAGGTCAAATTTTTCATGAGATATGGGGAGGGGGGCACTAATTCTAAGTAAGCCGGCACTCTATGTAAGATGACCTGCTCTATATGTATATTTACCAGCAGTGGATAGAAAAATGCCGGTAGAGGGTAGAAAAATGCCGGCAGTCCGTAGAAAAATGCCGGCAGTGGGAAGAAAAATACCAGTTGCCGTTTCTAATTCATCAGTTCCATGGATAATCGATTACACAAGATGATTGAAGTAATCGATTATTGCTAAACAACAGAGGCTGGTATCCTGTTGTTAACAGGCCGGCTATATTTAGAACTTGACCTACTTATGGGTACCCCCTGACTTCGAACTCTGGATTGTTTGAGTAAGCCGTTAGGGGCGGTTTGGTTTGGTCACCGATGGAAATAACTATTGACACAGTCCAATATGTTTGTTTTTTATTGACACAGTCCAATATGTTTGTTTTTTATTGACACAGTCCAATATGTTTGTTTTTTATTGACACAGTCCAATATGTTTGTTTTTTATTGACACAGTCCAATATGTTTGTTTTTTATTGACACAGTCCAATATGTTTGTTTTTTATTGACACAGTCCAATATGTTTGTTTTTTATTGACACAGTCCAATATGTTTGTTTTTTATTGACACAGTCCAATATGTTTGTTTTTTATTGACACAGTCCAATATGTTTGTTTTTTATTGACACAGTCCAATATGTTTGTTTTTTATTGACACAGTCCAATATGTTTGTTTTTTATTGACACAGTCCAATATGTTTGTTTTTTATTGACACGGTCCAATATGTTTGTTTTTTATTGACACAGTCCAATATGTTTGTTTTTTCTTTCGAGCAGGATTTGAAGGAGGACTTTGGATAAATTGTTACCAGAACATGACAGATCCAGTGGCCTTGACACTTTGCCCTGACAGGAAGCCACGTAGGAACGGCTTTAGTTACATCAAGTCTCATTGTCCCGTTGAATATGATCTTTGTTATACTAGTCATGTCATACCTAATTGTCATGTCATACCTAATTGTCATGTCATACCTAATTGTCATGTCATACCTAATTGTCATGTCATACCTAATTGTCATGTCATACCTAATTGTCATGTCATACATAATTGTCATGTTAAAATGGAATTCTCATGTCAAATATCGCACTGTCATATCAAATATGAAATTGGCGTGTTCAATATTGTTATGTTCAAGTTAACTCATTAATCTACTGACGTGTTCAATATTGTTATGTTCAAGTTAACTCATTAATCTACTGACGTGTTCAATATTGTTATGTTCAAGTTAACTCATTAATCTACTGACCTAATGAAGAGGCTTTCATTTTCCTTGTACCGTACCACATGAACCCCACACCACACACACGCCACTCATCTGCCCCACACCAAATCTTCCCCTATACCACCTCTACCCCACACCACCTCTACCCCACACCACCTCTACCCCACACCACCTCTACCCCACACCACCTCTACCCCACACCACCTCTACCCCACCGCCACCCTCTACCCCACACCAACTATATCCCACATCCAAACCTTCATGTAACGATCCGATAAGGGACTCCCCATGGGCACAGTTGTCGATCTTGTTGTAGTTGGGTTTGTCGTCCCTTCCCCCCCCCCTTCCCTCACACACGCATACAAACAGACACACACTAATAGTTTACTGACGTTTTTTAAAACACACACATTCACACACATGCACATAAATTATAATAAGGTAAAACATTTAATGAGATATAATTAAAGGTAACCTTTGTCTTGAGATATAATGTAAAATTTGTCCTGAGATATAATTATAAGGTCTATTTGAAACTTTTTATCAAGTTACACACACACACACTAATATTTCATTTAGTTTTTCTATTTAGAAAAACAAAAACGCATACAAACAAACACACATACAAACACACACGCATACAAACAAACACACGCATACAAACAGACACACACTAATAGTTTACTGACACACACATTCCCACACATGCACATGAACACCTATTGTAGAAAAGTCACTGTATGTTGATTTTTTTTTTATTTGAATAAAATGTTGCAGTGTAGTACATGAGGGAATATATCGATGGGCCAACTTGGTCGATTACTGTTAGCAGGAAGAAAGAATCGATTATTGTCTGACCTTCTTTTATTCCAGACTGGCAAAATGTCGTCATTGGGTTAATGATATTTGCGGCCACCTTTGGCTTGCTAGCTGCGGTACTTGCAATCTGCGGTGTCTGCACTAACCCTTTACCCAGAAAAATTTATTACTTCCATTCTGCTGGGGAAATATTTCTCATATCTGGTGAGTAAAGGGTTAATCTGTATTTATCTGGAGGATAGATAAAGGTTAAATTATATGTATCTGGTGAGTAAAGGGTTAAATTATATGTATGTGGTGAGTAAAGGGTTAAATTATATGTATGTGGTGAGTAAAGGGTTAAATTATATGTATGTGGTGAGTAAATAAGGATTAAATTATATGTGTTTAGTGAGTAAATGGTTAAATTTTATTTATCTGGTGAGTAGAGGGTTAAATTGTTTTGAAATGTTAGATAATGGTGTGGCTTTATGTTTACCACCAGTGGCTTTATGTTTACCACCAGTGGCCTTATGTTTACCACCAGTGGCCTTATGTTTACCACCAGTGGCTTTATGTTTACCACCAGTGGCTTTATGTTTACCACCAGTGGCCTTATGTTTACCACCAGTGGCTTTATGTTTACCACCAGTGGCTTTATGTTTACCACCAGTGGCTTTATGTTTACCACCAGTGGCTTTATGTTTACCACCAGTGGCCTTATGTTTACCACCAGTGGCTTTATGTTTACCACCAGTGGCCTTATGTTTACCACCAGTGGCTTTATGTTTACCACCAGTGGCCTTATGTTTACCACCAGTGGCCTTATGTTTACCACCAGTGGCTTTATGTTTACCACCAGTGGCTTTATGTTTACCACCAGTGGCTTTATGTTTACCACCAGTGGCTTTATGTTTACCAATAGAAGATGTTTTAACATTTTAAATTTTCTGCTCTTAGAATCGTTATGGCGTCTGTATGTGTGTTTTACACTACACCCCCCCCCCCCCTCCCCCTCCACATGACAAAGTCCTGTCTGCGCCACTGACCTTGAACTTTTGATCTATTTCCAGCACTTAGTGCCAGTGTTGCCTTACTCGTCTTCCCCATCGCCGTGGAGACGGACAGCAGCATCAGGGCGCACCACTACGGGCTGGGGTACGGCCTGGGCTGGGGCGGCGCCCTCTTCCTCCTGGCCGCGGCCGTCTGCATGAGTTTAGACGATCTAGTTCGAGAATCTTCTAGAGCCAAGTGTTGCCGCTGGTGCTGGAAGTCTAAGCCCACCGACCGCAACCAGTTGAGACAAGTGTGACGTCATCCAGTTGAGACAAGTGTGACGTCATCCAGTTGAGACAAGTGTGACGGCAACCAGTTGAGACAAGTGTGACCGCAACCAGTTGAGACAAGTGTGACCGCAACCAGTTGAGACAAGTGTGACGTCATCCAGTTGAGACAAGTGTGACGTCATCCAGTTGAGACAAGTGTGACGGCAACCAGTTGAGGCACATGACGTCATCAGCACCACATCCATCACATGACGTCAAGGTCACATGACGTCATCAGCACGACATCCGTCACATGACGCCAAGGTCACATGACGTCATCAGCACGACATCCGTCACATGACGTCAAGGTCACATGACCTCACCAGCACGACATCCGTCACATGACGTCAAGGTCACATGACCTCATCAGCACGACATCCGTCACATGACGTCAAGGTCACATGACGTCATCAGCACGACATCCGTCACATGACGTCAAGGTCACATGACGTCATCAGCACGACATCCGTCACATGACGTCAAGGTCACATGACGTCATCAGCACGACATCCGTCACATGACCTCGTCCACTCTCAAATCAGTGCCATGCCTTTTCGGGTCTAGTCGACCATGTCAGATGTCAGGACTGACTCATGTCAGATGTCAGGACTGACCCATGTCAGATGTCAGGACTGACCCATGTCAGATGTCAGGACTGACCCATGTTAGATGTCAGGACTGACCCATGTCAAATGTCAGGACTGACCCATGTCAGATGTCAGGACTGACCCATGTCAGATGTCAGCGCTGACCCATGTCAAATGTCAGGACTGACCCATGTCAGATGTCAGGACTGACAAGCAACGTACTTGAGCCGCATATAAGTCTTCCATTTGCATTATTCACTGTCCCCTGTGCCAATGTCCTCATGTGCTAATGTCCTCATGTGCTAATGTCCTCTATGTTGACAAATGCGCCTTGGTTGATTCATGGCTACAACCCAATTTTTCTTCCACATGCTGAGTGATGACGTCACTTTCTCACACTAAATCTGCTGACGTCACTTTCACACACAATCTGATGACGTCACGTACACACGCTGAATCGGATGACGTCACTTTCGAAAGTTTAATCTCTGACGTGGCTCTGCTACCATTAAACTATTGCTACCACTACTGATGTGCTGATGACTGACTAGACATTGGAGCAGAAGATTGGCTTTTATCTTCATGCAAGCTTTGGATCCCATTCCATACATTGGTCTTGGGCCTTTGTTTAGGAGCCGCTAAAGAGTCTGTTACTATTCTAATTATGTCCTTCTGCTGTTGATTGGATTATTCTAATTATGTCCTTCTGCTGTTGATTGGATTATTCTAATTATGTCCCCTGACTGAAATTGATAAGACGATTCTAATTATGTCCCCTGACTGAAGTTGATCACTGCCTTTCTAAATGGTAAAAAAATATGTGTAAACAAGACAAGTCTAACAGACCATTTTATCTTCAATGCTCACATCCAATCTTTGAATTGTGTTTACTATATAGGACATGTAAGCCTGGACTGAAAACCATTTTAGCCACAGAAGTAACCATTACTATTTACTTGGTCCTAAACCGAGTACACATTCACTTGTTCTCTGAATGTTCCATTTCCCATGTTCACTGAATGTTCTAGTTGCCGTGTTCTCTGAATGTTCTAGTTCCCATGTTCTCTGAATGTTCTAGTGGCCATGTTCTCTGAATGTTCTAGTGGCCATGTTCTCTGAATGTTCTAGTTCCCTTGTTCTCTGAATGTTCTAGTTCCCATGTTCTCTGACTGTTCTAGTTCCCATGTTCTCTGAATGTTCTAGTTCCCATGTTCTCTGAATGTTCTAGTTCCCATATTCTCTGAATGTTCTAGTGGCCATGTTCTCTGAATGTTCTAGTTCCCTTGTTCTCTGAATGTTCTAGTTCCCATGTTCTCTGACTGTTCTAGTTCCCATGTTCTCTGAATGTTCTAGTTCCCATATTCTCTGAATGTTCTAGTGGCCATGTTCTCTGAATGTTCTAGTTCCCTTGTTCTCTGAATGTTCTAGTTCCCATGTTCTCTGAATGTTCTAGTTCCCATGTTCTCTGAATGTTCTAGTTCCCATGTTCTCTGAATGTTCTGTTGCCATGTTCTCTGACTGTTCTAGTTCCCATGTTCTCTGAATGTTCTAGTTCTCATGTTCTCTGAATGTTCTAGTTCTCATGTTCTCTGAATGTTCTAGTTCCCATGTTCTCTGACTGTTCTAGTTCCCATGTTCTCTGACTGTTCTAGTTCCCAAATTCTCTGAATGTTCTAGTGGCCATGTTCTCTGAATGTTCTAGTTCCCATGTTCTCTGAATGTTCTAGTTCCCATGTTCTCTGAATGTTCTAGTTCCCATGTTCTCTGACTGTTCTAGTTCCCATGTTCTCTGAATGTTCTAGTTCCCATGTTCTCTGAATGTTCTAGTTCCCATGTTCTCTGAATGTTCTAGTACCGATGTTCTCTGACTGTTCTAGTTGCCATGTTCTCTGAATGTTCTAGTGGCCATGTTCTCTGAATGTTCTAGTTCCCATGTTCTCTGAATGTTCTAGTTCCCATGTTCTCCGAATGTTCTAGTCCTGTCCTGCTGATTAGCGAGTAATGCCAACTTGGGTCACATGGTTTGCTCTCCTTTGAAAGTGATACTTTGACCCTACCTGCCTACAAGTCTGTTTCAGTGATACATTGTTCGGTGATATATTGACCAGTCATATATTGACCAGTCATATATTGACCAGTCATATATTGACCAGTCAAACATGTCCAGTGATAAATTGTACAGTCACATTTTTGTTAGGAAATTTAATTTTAAATAATTTTCTTCCCAAGTTTGGGACACCATTTTTTCAATTTATACACAATTCTTGTTGCAACACTTGTGATAGGTGTCAAGGTCATTCAGACGTGTCATTTAGGTCATCCAGACCTTTGTATTTATTATCTGACCTATTTATTTTCTTGGACATACTTGTCTACCATTGACCTGTCTACAATTGACCTGTCTACAATTGACCTTTGAACCTTTCATTTTTCCAACCACTTTTGCCTTTTACCTCTACCTATTCATTAACACACAACCATAATATCCAACACCATTAACACACAACCATAATATCCAACACCATTAACACACAACCATAATATCCAACACCATTAACACACAACCATAATATCCAACACCATTAACACACAACCATAATATCCAACACCATTAACACACCACCATAATTGCCAACACCATTAACACACAACCATAATATCCAACACCATTAACACACCACCATAATTGCCAACACCATTAACATACCACCATGTGAGGTGGGGAGGGGGGCTTACCCCCTCCCCACCCCCCCCCCCCCCTCCCCCCATCAGCACTTACTGTCATAACACCGAGCAAACGCCCCAGCACAGAATGCCTTTTTGATATCTTTGATAACCTCCCTTTTGTATCCACTGCAAGCATGCTCTTTTGGTTGGTCTATATTGTAAGCATGGTATTGTTTACTTATTCCCCCCCCCCCCCAAGTTCGAGTGTCTGCCTTTATTTGATCAATCGCACAATTTCAATAGAAGCACTAAGTGGGCTGTTCAGATTTTTGTTTTAAGGCTAGACGGCATCGCACGGGGACAAAACTGCGCCCCTTCATCCGCTCCGTTACCTGAGGATGGTACGTGGTCATCTGAAGATGGTGTCCACGTGATGACCTTGATACACACGTGATGACCTTGGTAAACACGTGATGACCTTGATACATACGCGATGACCTTGATACACACGTGATGACCTTGGTAAACACGTGATGACCTTGGTACACACTAGCCTGAACTGTGCCTTACCAATGCAGGCAGCAACACGTCAAAACATTTTTTAACAACTGACGGCTTTAAATTTAGGTTTTGCTACATTAGGGGCCATCTTTTGATTGGCCCTTACATTAGGGGCCATCTTTTGATTGGCCCTGACATTAGGGGCCATCCTTTGATTGGCCCTTACATTAGGGGCCATCTTTTGATTGGCCCTGACATTAGGGGCCATCCTTTGATTGGCCCTTACATTAGGGGCCATCTTTTGATTGGCCCTTACATTAGGGGCCATCTTTTGATTGGCCCTTACATTAGGGGCCACTGGGAAAGAATTTGACTTTACAATGGCAACTATAGTCTCAGCTGGCCATCAAACCGCGGAGTGTCTGCTGACGTCTGCTGACGTCTGCTGACGTCTGCTGACGTCTGCTGACGTCTGCTGACGTCTGCTGACGTCTCTGAACACCGACACGACAATGCGATGATATTCCATTAGCTTTAGTTACGGTGGCTGCTCTGAACACCGACACGACAATGCGATGATATTCCATTAGCTTTAGTTACGGTGGCTGCTCTGAACACCGACACGACAATGCGATGATATTCCATTAGCTTTAGTTACGGTGGCTGCAATCTGTTGAGGAGAAAAATGAAAAATTTTGAAAGAAAGTCACAAAAATACAATAAGTTGATTTCAGGGTATAGTAGGTTATGTTGGTCTCAATATTCAGTGTGTCTCTGTACGGAGAGATGCATTGAAAAATAGTTTTCACTAGTTGGACACAACACCTTTTTCTGGAGTTTTTCTCTTATAATATCATCAGCCAATGAATACCTGTTGCTATAGTAACTCAAGGCTTGATTACGCCCATTTTCTGACGTCATCTGTTTACATCCCGCGATGATGTGCTAGCAACCTTGACTCGCCAAAACATTTCGAACAAGTTTTTGTAGCAACACTGGAGTGCATGTAAGAAGTCTTCTGTTTTTAATTCATTGAAGGGGTTAATTTTATACTTTCTAAGACGGTCTGTATTTTAATGCACGCTATATCGTTTTATATAATCAAACAATGCATGCGATCACCTGCAGACTAAAAACATATTGGGCCATTTCTAGATGGCACATCAGCCAATCAGAAATTAGTTTAAAAAAGACAAACCATTTTCAAGACACTTGTAACATGCGCTGGTGTACGTAGGTTATAGCATGTTACTAACCTTGTTTATAAAAGGTATCGTTCCATGCTTCGGTAACTAGAGCCTTCCTTCCTGCTACAAGACTAAACATCATACATGGTTCTGTACTTGACTCAAACTACTAACAGATCTGATAGGCCGACCCTAGCCCTAGATGTGTGTCCAATTGTTTCTAGACCCGACCTTACAATAAGCACATTGCACACGCAAACACTATTTATTTTTGTTTTTATACAGATTAAAAATGAACCTCTCTTCTTTGTTATATAAGAAACTATTATCTTACTATTATTAGAATACTATTGTTAATACCTATTTTAAGGTTTTCAATTTTAATCTTACTATAATTCAGAGTTTCTTCCAGGCATCGCTCCGGGGCGGGGGGGGGGGGGGGGGGGGGGGGGGGCGGGAAAGAGCACACCCCCTCCCGTACGAAATTTATATAGAACACATATACTTCTACTAGTGTCCGCCCCCACGGGAAATGTTGACCCCCCCCCCCCCCCCCGGAGAAAAAGTCTGGAAGAAACACTGCTATAATTAGAATTGTTATACTTAGTTTTTACTGTGAAAACACAATGTTTTAATGGCACACAAATACTGACGGCAAACACAAGCTATGGCACACTAATACAGGTGGCACAAACGTTTTTTTTTTAAAATTAAACAATCCATAAATGGTTAAGCTCTTACATTAGCTAACCTTACAACAATACGACCATTTAACTAATGACACAAAAATAAGACCAGTGGCGTAGCCAGGATCGTCTCATAGGGGGGTCATTTTTTCCTAGCGTAATATATATATATATATATATATATATATATATATATATATATATATATATATATATATATATATATATATATAGTAGCTATGATGTAAACTAAATTGAAAGTAGTACTCTGAAGAAATAAGAAAAAATACACAATGTAGGCCGACAAAACAAAACA